CAAGTCCTGTCTGGTGTGTCTGAACTCTTACTGTCAGAATCACCTCGAACAACATGAGAGTTGGTTTAGAGGAAAGAGACACAATTTGACTGAAGCCACTGGACAACTGCAGGAGATGATCTGCCAGAAACATGAGAAGCTCCTTGAGGTTTTCTGTCGCACTGACCAGAAATATATATGTATGCTGTGTACGATTATTGAACATAAAAACCATGACGTTGTATCAGCTGCAGAACAGACGACAGAGAAACAGGTATTTAAAACTAGACACTGATGAAATATTGCTGACACTCGTTTCATATGACAATCGTTTAATATGCACTATATGAACAGCTTACAGCATTCACACGTCACACGGCAGCAGAAATGAACAGCAGTTTCATAGTTGGCTGAAAATACACCGGAAACCTTCATCACAATCTTTCACTAAATAGGCTTTGATTAAACAACATAAAATAATGGACTGAATTATTCACCTGTTCATTGACAAAATATATACTTTCATCAGTTAAATAAAAGCTCTTCTACTGTACACAGCAGAAACACTGTCAGTGTGAAGCTCTACGTCTGTGTCAGTTTCACTTTTATAATACTTACACTTACAGTGTGAAACAGGCCTTAATCTTCATCATAATTCATATATGATGATTGTAACCGATCATCACTTCTAGAGTTTGATCCTACAGCCATTAGTTATCAGTCCTACGTTTACTAGATTCATCTGTTGACATGATGATTTAGTGCCAGTAGTTTTCTGTGAGATTCACTATCATCTGTTTGTCCTGCAGAAGCAGCTGAAGGAGACGCAGAAGACGTTCCAGCAGAGAATCCAGCAGAGAGAGAAAGATCTTCAGCAGCTGAGAGAGGCTGTGGAGTCTCATAAGGTGAGTCTGGAGAAGAAGAGAAGTTTGTCTCCGTCTCAGTTCAGACTCACTGAAGCCTGAATCACTGTGTGTCCTAACAGCGCTCTGCACAGACAGCAGTGGAGGACAGTGAGAGGATCTTTACTGAGCTCATCCGCCCTATTGAGAGAAGCTGCTCTGAGCTGAAACGGCTGATCAGAGATCAGGAAAAGACTGCAGTGAGTCGAGCTGAAGGACGACTGGAGCGACTGGAGCAGGAGATCAATGATCTGAGAAGGAGAGACACTGAGCTGGAGCAGCTTTCACTCCTGATTCTGATGTGTTTTATCTCCATCAGATTCCCATCAGCTCACTCTGGATCTGAACACAGTGAATAAACACCTCCATCTTTCTGAGAGCAACAGAGTGATTACTGTCGCTTACACAGATCAGCCGTATCCTGATCATCCAGACAGATTTGATGTGTATCGTCAGGTGTTGTGTAGAGAGAGTGTGTGTGGACGCTGTTACTGGGAGCTGGAGTGGAGTGGAGGTGTGTTAATATCAGTGTCATATAAGAGCATCAGCAGGAACGAGAGACTGATAACGGCTGTCAGAAGAGAGAACCATCCCTCCCACAGACGCGGCATTAGAAACACAGCATTAGCGTTAACTGTTTATTTTTAATTTGATGTAAAGGTTATATAATACAAAGAATAGTGTTATAAATGTAGATACATTTTTTTAAATTACAAATATGAAAAACTTTCGAGGATTTACGATGCTGATGACCGTTATAGAGTCCATCATCAGGAGAGTAGGAGTGTTTGTGGATTACAGTGCAGGAACTCTGTCCTTCTACAGTGTCTCTGACACAATGAGCCTCATCCACACAATCCAGACCACATTCACTCAGCCGCTCTATCCTGGGTTTGGGGTTAAAAAAAGATCATCAATGAAACTGATTCTACCCAGAATGCTTTGAGCTGCATGATGAATCAGTAGCAGTGATATGTTATAGAGTCTCTTCTTTTCTCTTCATGACATTAATACTGCAGCTGAACTTCTGTCACTGAAATAACGTCAGAATAAATGTGTGTAATAAATCCTCATATAGACAGTAATATATATATATATATATAGATATAGCAAAACAATAATGCAAATTATCATTGGTATCATCACAAATTATTCATCACTAACTGTGCAACTTTGTAACTTTTAGCTCTGTTGGTATTAAAAATGTACTGTGAAATGTACAGGAAGTCAGCTGGATTGAATGTATCTAGTTCCTTTATAGTTTTATATTATATCCTGGACTCCTACTGCATATAGAAAAAATAAATCATCATCAGACAGGACTGAAAACAGCATAAAATCAAATCTACAAATTCAACCCTGATGTGTGCATTTAATGAGACAATTTAGCCAATTTAGCCATCATTCACTCTCCTCATGTCTTCTGATGTTTTGAAAATGAATAATTTGATAAATGAACAAATGTAAATGTATTTTGAAGAATGTTGGGAGACAAACAACTCTGGACCCGCTGACTTTCATTATATGAACAGAAAACACTGGGACATTTCTCAGAATCTCCAGAATCTCTTTTCACTGAAGAAAGACAGTCACACAGGTTTGAATGAGAGGAAATGATGACAGAACGATGAGAACGATGAT